ATGGGGTCTCACTTTTGCTCAGGCTGGTCTTGTAAGCGATCCTCTGGCCTCAGCCTCCCAAGGTGCTAGGATTAGAGGCATGAGCCACTGTGCCCGACCACAAGCATTTTCTTTTGATTAGTTGCCAACATTTAAAAAGTAGAAGACTCTCTTGAAAAAATCCAGATTTATGACTTCTTGTGAAAAAATCATAAAATCTGGCAGCCCTGGGTCCCCGTTCCATGCAGCTCTGACAGGGAATGATTGGAGCTGGGTGGTGCCCACCCTGCAGCTCAGGGTGTGACCTGCAGTTGACCAGGACTCCCCAGCTCGTGTCACTTATTTGCCTTTCTGATCCCTGATGTAGATGAAGAGATAGAACCGAGGAGAAAAGAAGACAGAGGAAGCGCAGGGTGTGTGCGTCACGCCATGAGGCCGTGACCGAGTGTATCATCAGGCAGCTTGCTTTACCTTAATGTGCCAGTTTGTTTCTCCTCTAATACAGTCAGTCAATCTGGTATCTATTGAGCCCCTACTATGTGCTGGTCGTCATTCTGGGCTACCAGTCCTGCCCTCAGAGAGCTTACAGTCTGGGGAGGGGAGATAGACAATAACAGAACAAATACATCAGATAATTTGCATTCTGATGAATGCTCTGAAGAAGATAAACAAGATAATGGGATAGAGAGTACCTGTGGCAGGGGTAATCTGCTTTAGCTCAGGTGGCTCTGAAAGGTGTCTTTGAGGAGGTGACATCTGAGTTGAAATGAAAATAACAAAAAGGGGACAGCCACGTAAAAACCTGTGGATCAAAATGTCCACACTGAAGGAAAAGCAAGTCCAAAGGCCTGAGACGAGAGCGTGCTTGCTCCAGCATGGAGGACCGAAGGCCAGGTGCTGGAGGGTGGCTGACCAAGGGGCAGTGGAGAGAGCCGAGGCCAGAGAGCTTGCAGCGCCTCGGAGCATGGGAAACGGACCGGCTGTGCTCCACTTGCAGTGGAAGGCCAGGGCGGGTTTAAGTCAGGAGCGACAACATGATGTACGTTTTTTCTTCAACGGCAGTTCTCAACTGCAGCTGCACATTAGAATAACCTGAGGAACTTTTCAGAAGTTTCACCACCGGGATCTCATGTCAGACTAGGTAGATCAGAGGGGATTGGTAATTGCGGGAGCAAAGTGCCAAGACAAGAGGGGCTGGCATCCGCAGCCCAGGGCACTTCTTACGAACAGGGTGGCAGAGCTGGTGTGAGGACGTCTCCTCTGTTTATTCTGTGTTCTTGCTTCTGAGCTTGAATGTTGTTTGTTTGCCGTGTTTTGCTCCTGGGAGCTCACATTGGAAACCCTGCCCCTGGCCAAGCCTTTGACGTTGATGTGAAGATGACTGCAGAGATGAGGTCCTGCTGTCCTCCTCAGTGCCTCCCCGATGGCCTGGCTCTTTCCCTCTCGGGCCACCTGGCCCTTGTTTGCATGCTCTGGGAGCTGCTCTCTATGGCTGTTATTTCCCAGCACTGGGGACAGCTTCACACCCCCAAGATGCACTGAAGCGTGTCTTTGCTGTAGTTCTTTCATCCGCTGTTTGTTGCCCCACTTCACCATTCGGATCATCCCTGTGGGCCTTGCCAGCACTCAGGAAATAATGGCAGCAAAACTCATTGTCATTTTGAAAATATGCGTTGCCCAATTATAAAAATATTTGAGCCCTCCTGCCTTAGAATCACTGCCGTTTTAATAGGAGCTCCCTGGGTTTCATTTCGGAGTCTCTCTATCGTTTAGAAAAGGTAGCCGTTGTTGGGTAACCGGGGCTGGAGAGGCAACTGTGCCTAGAGACGGAGGACGTCCCTTCGCTTGGTGCGATGTGGTTTGTAGCTGGCACTATCCCACAGGCAGGGCCAGCGTGTGGTGGCAGGTTTGGAATTCCTGGTTTGAGAGAATGAAAGGGAAAAGAGGTGAGTAGTCTTCTCCATAGGGCCAGGAGTTTCACTGCTTTGTGTTCAGAGAGGTTTTTGGCTGGAGGTGGCTCTGCTGCGATCGCCTCCCCAGTTATTCAAGCCATGCAGAGACCTCAGAGCAGTCACCACCTTCTCCCTGATTCCTGAGCCCCCACGGCTTCCGAAATCTCTCCTGAGCCTGCATTCTCCTGTCCCCCACTGCCACACTGCCTTCATG